TCAGGGAGGCAAAATACATGCCTTGCCACCCCGCTCTGAGAACTGGGGGAGCAAGCGCCCCCCTTGCCCCCCCCCCCCCCCCCCCCCCCCCCCCCCCCCGGTTGGTACGCCCATGCATTGCGTAATGCAACAGCGCAGACTTCATTTTGAGGTCTAAACAGATGTTTCGCCTCATTCGCTGAGCTGATTTCGTAGATCGCAGAGATTGGCTCTTTGAGTGTCCTGCGGGTAAGTAGACGCGCAGGGTATTTTTTCCCCCTGACACATAACCAGCAACTTCCGTATATATAGGGCGGCATCGGGGGTCCATGAGGGAATGTGGGCGCCCTCCACTCATGAGTATGCGTCTTCTCCACGCAAACGCACACGCACTCACAAAACTCAATGCCCATAATGCTGAACATGATTGTGAACCTGAGACTGGGGCATAGAAGAGAACACAACAGAAGGTAGAAAAAGAGGAGGCCACGTCTCAGTGGACTCCTCTTTTTGTGGCCTCCTCTTTCTCAGTGGCCTCCTCTTTCTCAGTAGTCGGGCGTTTCAGTGGTCCCAATCTCTGAATTGACTCCGTAAGTGTGACGTCATGGGTCCAAACAAACCGTTGCTAGGGTTGTTGTTATGGGCAAATAGATGTGGCTAGGCTTCGCTACGAAAACCCGACTGTTCAAAAATCGGGAGTAGGATTTAAAGTTCTAAAAAACACAGATATGGAAAGCTTGAATGTCATATATGCTTCGAAAGAAGTGTGCCGGTAATCGCTTGTTTCTGAAATATTTACGACTGCAAATTTCCGGTCATCAAGATGCCTGCAGCAGACGACGAATGCAAGAAGTATGCCATCTGCCACACGCACGCCGGCCAAGCCGGCGCCGGCGTCTGAATCATGTGAATAAAGACGATATTCTGATATTGCATCTGTTTGAGATATAATGAGTTTCAGACGCTTATAAGAATTTATAGTGGAGTGCGATGCAAAATATGGTTTATCGAAAGTCCGGGCGTCAATCGAGATGATCGTCTGCTAAAAAACCGCAATGCACCCGTGAGAAAAGCACTTCAGGCGATCGGTAGAGATCCCAAATTTTATTTGCGGACTCGCGCTATGGGACGGTGCTTCGTACCTGGTTGTAACCATCGCGTGGAGAAAGATTCTTGCAGTTTCTTCAGATTTTCGCAAAACGCAAAAGAACTGGATAAAAAACATAAGGTGAGCTTATTACAATTGTACTCTCATCGCGGGTTCGATGGAGATCTTCACCGAAAGAGCACATCCACTAAATTTAATGTATGCAAAAAAAAAAAAAAAAAAAGCGAAATTGCGATAGACACGCAATTTTTTTAATAACCTGACAACCTCGATAATAATAATAACAAACGCGTCGTCGTAACTGATCTGCATGACGTGGTTTGATTTTACGGAATTTTCGCCCCTCTGAACTAAGCTGGGTTCTTCAGAGAAAAAAAAAAAAACGCACATTGCGGAGCCCTCTACGGCCATTGCGACGCACTTGCTTGTGTTGCTCGTTTACCGACGCAATTCAATGAAGACGCCCGCTGCAACAGGGACCAGCAAATCTATCATGTCGTCTGCTACCAAAGCAAAGCGGAGTGGAATACTTCAGAAACGGCTTTCATCGTTGCAATACGACGCTGAGATGACAAGAACATCTTCATAATTAAGTATCAAAAAGTTAGGTTGCTTACAAAAAATTATTTACTTGTAAGCGAAACTCTAGCCTCGTGTGGAGTCTCCATGCATTAGTCCATAGCAACGCCCCTAGCTACGGTTTGTTTGGACCCAGGCGCCATGTTGTGACGTCATCACTTACGGGGTTAATTGGCACAATCCACAAGAGCTTAAACTGTGTTTAGAAAGTTCCACCACAGGGTAATATCGCGCGTGCATTGGCCAGCACGAGGAATTCGGCGTAGTGGACTTGCCCTTGAATGACGACTTGAGCAGCGCAGCAGGCAATGACGTGTATTGAATTTGTTCCGGCCCCTCGAAATACGCGAGTTTTCGGTGACGTTTTGACTTTGCGTAGTATATCACAGGCATCTTGATGCGTACCAGAGACAGCTTTTCCAGTTTGGACAAACGTGGAAAAACAATGATGATGAATCTTAAAGGGGCGATGCAACGATTTTTGTATTTTGCTCAAATACCACTTAAAACAAATCCCTGACGTTAATGACCGGTGAAATACCCGTTCGTTTTTCACCACACGCAATCGAAGTCGCAGAAAAAAATAAAGGAAAACGAGCAGGGTTCACCTCCTCAACTCACAGCCAGAACAAGCGGCCACGTGATCTGGAGCCGATTATATGCCGCCAGTGTTGATCAGCCATGCGCTGGGGTTGGCAAGGCACAGGACACGCGCTGAGTTCCAGACATTGTTATGGTTCGGCTGTTGTCGTCATTGCAGCGATTGGACACAATGCACTACCCGAATGCTTCTCGAGCTATCGATTATCACGAGCCCAAATTGAGTGTCCACGCCATGCTCGGGTCCAATCTATGAGCCGCATTCAAATATCGTCACTGGGCGGTACTGCTACCGCCCAGCTACGTCATCAGGTTTTTCGAAGGAGAGATTGAATGAAAACACTCGGTTTTGTTCTCGAAATTACATTGCAACAAAGGAGTTTCTTTGTCATTGGCGTTGCGAGCGAGTATCCTTGAGCCCCACTAGTGCCAGTAAGCTCGTGTAAAGTGAAAAACATTCCAAATGAATATCGTTGCACCGCCCCTTTAACGTGAATGAAGTTCCTTGGTGTAGATGAAGAGTTCGTTTGGTTTCGATGGCCGGCAGTTTCACCCCGGAAATTGCAGACGTTAGTTTTCCGAGTGAAAAGATGTGCAAGGAAGCCCAGTATTCATAGGAGAGGGCGAACGACGACGACGACGCCGGTACGGTGAGAGCGGTCGGCCATTCCGCTGGCCTCTCGAGCGCTGCGGGCCCGGCGCTTGGCGCTGTCGGGCTGGTGGCAGCGCCGTGTTCGCCAATTTCTCAATATAAATAAATAACAGCCTTTTGTCCAGTTGAACGCAAACCAGTGGATCTCGCAGGTGCCTTTTTGCGAGTTGCATTGACGATAACTGCAGGCTAACCATAGCAAGACATAAAATAACATACGCAAGGAGGTTGTAAGTTTAGCATTGCAATGGTCGCCGCAGTCACACTGCTTATCAGACGTGTACGGCATAGAGTTATTACAATAAACGCTAAAGGCTCAGGTAGAGCTAGTGTGCTGTTGTATGTTGAAGCAGACACCAACGAGTCTAAATTCGATTTCCAGTAATGCATTCCTGTGGGAAAGCTCAAAGGCGTTTTCTCATCGCGCCCGATTATGAGAGCAAATATTGCTTAGTGTTGTGACAGAATAAAAAGTTTCGAACGTTTTACAATCGAATGCACAAAAATATGTGTCAGTTAGATCGTTTTTCTTTAGAATTCACGGTGTCGAACACTGCGCTAACATAGCCCAATGCACATGTATAATACGTGTTGACGTCGCAGACTGCCATTTTAGGGCACGTATTTACACATATATTCAATGCTATGAAGCACACGGAGTGAATCAGCTTGACAAACACCAGAAAGGTGCTAATATATGCCAAATCAAACAATCAAAACAGACGTCAAGAACTAAGCATGGAACACGTACTGGATTAGTAACAAACTCTGCATGAATTATCAAAATAAAGCAGTAACTCAGTGTTTTCTTCTTTGTTTGTTGTTGTTCTTTTTGCTTTTTAATTCTTTTTGCTCGAATTGATAGCTTGTATTGATATATCATGCTGTATAACAAACCTGGGCCTCATTTTTTGCAAACTTAAACATCGCTCAGTAATTAAAAAAAAAACAAAAAAACATTAACTAAATAAGTTACACTTTTATAACTTGTAAATAAGCATACATATTACCCGTTACGAGTAAAGAAACTCCACTAATTTCTATTATTCCCTGGCGAAGAGAAAAATATCACGCACGTTTTCCCATAGGAATACACAGGATGACTGGAAAAGTAGACTAGTTGCTGTCTGCTTCAATTTGCAACCGGAAGTTCCGTAGACACTAGCGCTAGCTGAGCCTCTATACCGTTTATTGCAATAACTCTATGGTGTACGGTACTCATATCAAGTAATCAGATGACCGGCTGTAATCAATTATTTTAAAGAGTAATTTTGTTATCGTTGAATACATTTATTAGGAAGTAATTACAAGAGTAATCCGATTGCTTTTCGAAGTACTAAAATTACTTGTAGCCGTCCCTATTTGTCCCTCCCCTTCCTAATGGCTCCCTTTGTTTCCACAAGTTTCTTACCAAGGAATCTTAGAACCAAGTCTCCAACAAAATTACTGCCTACCAAATTTGGTGGGTTAAGAAGGTAAGTAGTCTATAGTTCGGTGATTTTAATCCAATGAGGGACAGTACGAAAGTCCCGTTTTTAAACCAGCAGAAAATTTATCGTTTCAAAAATCTTAAGTAATCGAGGTTTCCCTTTTCAAGTAAAGGCTGGCTCACACAGCACCGTTTCCTTACGCGTTTCTTTTTTTTTTTTTTACGTTACGCATGAGCCACCGAGACATTTGTCTCGAATGTCGCGTGCCAGACTACCTTCTTGAACTGGTAGCCACGCTCAATAAGAAGCACACATGTCCCTGTGACTTGTATGGAAGCATTCGTTACTTAACGTAACGTAAAAAGACGGGGCTACACTGTAAAAAATTTACGTCAATTTGACGTGTCTTTCCCTCGTCAAAAAAGACGGGCACGCTCATCATTTCAAAATACGAGGATGCCCTCATTATTTATTTGGCGCAAGAGCCGAGCCTTCCAGAAAAGCCGAAATCCCAGGAGTGCAAGCATGCGCAGATGGCGAGGAGTTGAATCAGCGCGCAGCCCCGCAGCTCTTTCGCGGCCCTCCTCTCTCGCAGAATGGTGTTGCCGTTGTTGCAACACCCATCTCTGTTGTTTTGCGGTTTTGCCCCGAGTCGTGCGCCCGTGCCGCGCAGGCGCAAACAGAGGTTGCAGCAGCTATCGCCATGCTGTCGCTCTTCGGGCGTTCGTCGAACTCGCCTCGGTGGCTGTTGACATCGTGGTCAGTGTAGTGTTCTGTGATGCATCAGGGCCTCATCAGCTCATCGACGACTAAATCGCCCACTTCAAGGTATGCAATGTGACTTTATCCTTGCAATGTCTTGCTTACGTATTGTAATCGAATATTTCTCCATGTTCGCGGTTCGAGTGCTTTCGGTTGAAGACGGAAAGCGCTCGAGCGTGTTCGAAATCTGCGGTCTGAGAACACGGGCGTCCAGCGACACATCGTGCTTTTGGTGTTTCTTTTTCAGCACGTTATGTTTCCGTTATAATATGCACGTGTTTATTTATCCGTGCTGCAGCGGCGGCGCCTTTACTCAGAGCCCTGCGCCTTATCTCTTAAGAGAACTCGCGAGTACGAGCTTTTATGGAAGCTTAGTTTCTGTGTTTGTTTTTGCAACAACATTCATGCAGCCAGACAACATAAGCGAGCGGCTAACGTCTTTGTAACGACGCAATGTCATTGAACGACGTTTTAGCGGCTTCGAAAACGGAAGTTTCCAGTGCACTCGACTCACGAGCCTCTAAGACGTACACAAAATTATTGACCGCCCTCGTAATTTGACGGGAAATTTCTCAAGCAGTTTGGAGGGTTAATTGTTGTAAACATCCACTCTGCAGCTCGCTGCTGGCTCTGACTTTATATATAACAGTGTGCTTATTTTTTATATCGTATTTTCCGGGCTATAGTCCAAGGTCTATACATGTTTAAAAGCTGAAATTTTAGGCTGTGCGGGCTCTCTACGCGTGCGGACTATACACGAATTTTGTTTTTCAAGATCGTTCAGTATGAGGAGATGTGACGGATTTCGTGAGTGAAAGAGGGGATGAGGACGATTCGTCACATGCGCACTCGTCACAGGACAATTGGTCACAGGACGATTCGTCACATAGGAACATTCGTCATAGGATGACTCGTCATGCGGGCAATTGGTCACATCGACCGAGTCTGCCCACATTCCCTGATGAGGAGTTTCACGATTTTCTACTGTCACATAAACCAATGGTTAGAAAAACTGATCTCAAATACTCATCCGCCTTTCCTCTCATTATATTACGGGTTTCAGCAGGTTGATCTCAGTTGCTAGTTTAAACGAGCAATAATCCGACTGGCAGCCAAATCAGTAGTTTTGCCTTGCATACACCTATTTGACAAAACCAATAAGTATCGGAATTCTTTCTGCTGAATGTGTACGAGTACCCCTCGTGCAGCATCATGGCTCTACCTCTCTCTGTTGCGATCACCTCTATCCTTTTGATTGCAGTCTCAGTTTCGTTCCGGACGGACCCTGCAGCTAAAACGTCTGTTATAAATTCTTTGACTTTGAGAAGTGAAAGACATGCTAAGATAAGAGGTGACCCACTTTGTCATGCCGAACCAACATTCAATGTTCGGGACCGAACCAGAAGCTGAAACGTTTGTTACAAATTCTTCGCCTTTCAGAAGCCAAAGACATACTAAGATATGAGGTTAGCCACTTTGTCCGCCCGAACCAAACTGAACAATACACTTTTGGGGGGACGAACTGTTGTGGGACCGGTTGGCCGCGTGATGAGTCATCCTATGACGAATGTTCCTGTGTGACGAATCGTCCTGTGACCAATCGTCCTGTGACGAGTGTGCATGTGACGAATGGACCGTATCCCGCTCAGCATACCCAACGGCTGATCGGCTTCGCAGAAGTTTATATTTTATTTATTTTTCTGCGCTTTCTTGTTTTATTTCTCATTGATGAGTACTGTTCATTCATTTGCACACCTGAGTCATTAGAAAGCTGAAATGACGTCGAAAGATTCTTCTGATATATCAAATTTTTTTTTGTAATCTTTAACGGACTGTAAAGGAAAATGAAGGTGATATATATGTGGATGCCATCCTCACTGTATAATAGTAGGGCTCGGCGGACATTAGACAGGCGGATAAACGTCAAAATATGTTTACTAATTAACCGAAAATTGTAAAGTCACTGTTTAATTACATAGCTTTTTACTTTTCTTTTCTTATTTCACTGTAGATTACACTTGTGCAGCTTCAGACACCCCGGCCGTGACACTTCCCCTTTGGACTTGGTTTAATGAATTTGTGTTTAGTATAGTTGCGTTTATTATCATTAGTGCATGATTTTTTTTAACGAGGTTATAATTGCTTCCTCTTTTTTACAGTGGCTATTTTCAAACCCAACGTTGCATTTGCATATGTTGGTGTGCATGTGCATGGTGTGTGTCTGCATCTAACTGTGTCACATGGCACCTGTGACATCCTAATGACGTCTGCATATAGTTGTTTCACTTTGCACTCGGGCTCAAAGTATAGCTATGTTGGACTGTTAATTTCAGGGTGGCATATCCCACAAGCCTCATGTTGGCTGTGATGTGCCCGTCATGCTAACTGATGTGCGCTAGATACAATAAATGTATTATATTATTATTATGAATATTATTATTATTATTATTTAGCGGTGTAATGGGCCTCTTCGCAATTGCAATTTTAAAGAGAGTAATGCAACCCCAAAACTCTAACCGGCGATTTCCGAAAAACATGGATTACTCAAAACTTGCTGCTTTTTCACAAAATTGTTTCATTTAGGTTGGGCTTTAATAATGTCTCCGTTTAAAATTGCAATCGCAGCATAGCCCATTATACCAATACTTAAGAAGGTAATTAACATATTTTGGTTAGTAAACATAATTTTATGTTTATTCTCTTCTCTAACGTTTGTCATTGCTGTGGTATTGCTGGCTACTGCAGTGTGTGACCCAATTGTTATATGTTTGTTATAGGTACTTTGGCCAGATAAACCTCAAAAGAGGTACCAGGTGTGCACCATGCCATACCGCAAAGAGCGGCATTTATCCGAAAGTTCTCAGGCTCATCAAGGAAGGGAAATGAACCCGTAGGTACTATCCAAAGATTGCCAGCCGCTCTCTTCAAGCCGCATGGAGAGCTCTATGAGTTCAGCAAGTGTTCCTAGTGGTCCTTGGGATATTTCATGCTGGAGGCTTATGTAGTATTGGTCTTGTCTTTGTAACTTTGTGGGTATAAGGCAAGCTGTATTAAATTTATTGCAGGTTCCAGTTGCACCAAGCAGGTGCACTCACCCTCAGGTTGCAAGCCGCTCTCTTCAAGTCGCATGGGGTGCTTTATGAGGTGAGCAAGCATTTCTAGCAATCCTTAAGACATGTCGTGCTTTAGGCTTATGTATTACTGGCCTTGTCTTTGTTACATTGTGGTATATGGCAAGCTGTACTAAATTTATTGCAGGTCCCAGCTGCACCAAACAGGTGCACGCACCATTACAGATTGCAAGCCGTTCTCTTTAAGCCACATGGAATGTTCCATGAGGTGAGCGTGCATTTGTAGTGGTCCTTGGGACATGTGCTGTAGGCTTATGTATTACTGGCTTTGTCTTTGTGGTATACGCCAGGCTGTATTAAATATATTGCAGGTCCCAGCAACAAAAATTGCAAGCCGCTCTCTTCAAGCCGCGTGGAGTGTTCTATGAAGTGAGCAATCATTTCTGGCTGTCTTTGGTGCATGCCATGCTGGGGGTTTATGTAATACTAGCCTTGTCTTTGTTACTTTCTGGTACATGGCAAGTTGCATTAACTTTCTCGCAGTTCCCATCTACACCAAATGGGTTGACCCACCTTCAGACCGCAAGTTGCTGTCTTCAAGCCGCACAAAGTGTTCTATGAGGTGAGCAATAATTTCTGGCTGTCTTTGGTGCATGCCATGCTGGGGGTTTATGTAATACTGACCTTGTCTTTGTTATTTTCTGGTATATGGCAAGCTGCATTAACTTTTTCGCAGTTCCCATCTACACCAAGCGGGTTGACCCACCATCAGACCGCAAGCCGCTGTCTTCAAGCCGCACAAAGTGTTCAGTGAGGTGAGCAATCATTTCTGGCGGTCTTTGGTGCATGCCCGCTGGGGGTTTATGTAATACTGGCCTTGTCTTTGTTACTTTCTGGTATATGGCAAGCTGCATTAACTTTCTTGCAGGTCCCAGCTGCACCAAGCGGGTAGACCCACCGTCAAAGATTGCAAGCCGCTTTCTTCAAGCCGCACAGAGTGTTCTGAGGTGAGCAATCATTTCTGGCGGCCCTTGGTACATACCATGCTGGGGGTTTATGTAAAACTGGCCTTCTCCAGTTTGATCCAGTTTTACCTAAGGAAAAGGTGGACCTCTATAGTGGGATGGACATGCATTCAATATTTTTATATACATGTATACAAAGCTGTCTATTTTGATTCAAACGAAATTAAAAAAAAAAAAAAAAAAACGGCACGAGTTATTTAAATGATTCCCTCACTGTGTGTTTATCGGGCTCGGAGGACATTAGATAAGGGGATAACCGTTGCAGAATGTTAAAACTAATGAACAAAATTTTTTTAATAATGTTTTTATTTAATTGTTTTATGGGATACGTTTCAATTCTAGTTTCAAAGGCAGTAAATATTAGACTAACAGAATTTCTGTATAGCAACAAGGTTCAAGATATGGAATGCTAAAAATTTGCTTTTTTTGTCACCCGATTCGAAAATTGCGTACTCGGGGAAGACCTCAGGATGTTGTGCGGACGTGGTTGCTTCGGACGCACCTTTTTTATCTTGGAAGTATGACGCGGATGCATCTACCAAGGACACACTGTCGAGATAGTGACGATGTGCCCAGTACGACTATGTCACTCTCCCACCCACCATTAACGGCACAAATTCTTGAGCTCCTGAGCGCGGTTTTTGCATCCGACATTAAAACACAAACGTTGGACAAGGAATATGGGGAAGCCGCTTGGCATTTCGTGAATTGTTTAAGTCGGGATAGCCTTTAATATTGGCTGGCTTTTAACGCTGCTGTTGCAGCATGGCCGAGAAAGCCATTAGTTACAAAGCTAGCAAATTTTCGTCAATTAGTCAACATACTGTGACGGTTATCCCCTTTACTGATGTCCACAGAGTCTTACGAATGCGCAATGAAGAAGACATTCTGATAACTTTCGTGGCCTTTTTTGAAAATTCTGTTAGCTTTGATATAGAATGATGTGTATACATGTAAAACGACTTGTAGAATGTAATCATGCACATGATTGTGTTACAAGGCTTTGTTTTTCACCCAATTAAGTAGTGCATTTTTTATCGCAACCTTCCAAAAATAAGCAAAGCATCCAGTTTGGTATTCAAATTGTATTCTATTTCGGTAATAAATCAACGGACTACTACTTGGTTCGCCTTTGGCTTCATACTGAGAATAATAGGCATGTGTGAATCATGAATTTTGGGCTTAAAGTGTATAATGACTTGAGCTTATTAACTTTTCAGTTGAATATCACAGTCTCTGCACCTCTCTCCAAGCCTGTTACTTAGTGCCGTCACGCTAGCCTCAGCCACCCTGACAGTGTTGGTATCACTTGTTTAGCTGTAGGCTGCTTTGATTACTTTAGTACATATGTTTTCAAAATGCAGTAATATGTCAGTGAAGGAGCATGATCGTGCACGAATAGTAACTTTAGGTATGGTACAAAAAAATACCTAATATCAGGGGCAGGTAGTCATCCACTGAAATAAAGTTAGAAGTGAATAATTTTGATTACCAAACTGAATGCTCTCTTAAAATTCTCAAGGATCTGCTTAAGCTGCACAGTTGTAATCGAGGCAGCAAGCAAAGCTTGTCATTTATTTATGCTTGTCAGCAGCATGCTGCATGGGCATATAGATTTATAAGTGTACATAATCAGCATGAGGGCAATACATATACTTTTTAAATGAAATTCTAATTGATCTAGTTATCATCGCCCCATTGCCAAAGCTCTGTTAGTTCTGATCCAAATTATGTTGTGGCTCTGGCTATCATCAGGTCAAGGCCCACATAGAGGTTGTGAATATAAATATACGATTTGATGGCCTTCTCGCCATGCTCATCCTTCAATTTCAAATTAGAACTGTTGCTGCAATGTCGTGACATAGCATGTTAGGACATTGCAGCCTAATACATATTCTTGATAACAGGATAGCTACAGTGTTATTTGTCTTCTAAATTTGACCTTGAGGGGAGTACCGACATCCATCAGATGCAAAAACATTCACGTAACCATTTTTAAATTTTTTTCTTAATTCCTCCTGTGTACATGTCAAAACCTCTCCGCTATAGAGGTGTGCATTTCCCACCGAAGTATGAGTCTACACTGCGACTGCGACAAAGCGAGATTCTTGCGACCGGGGTGTTACACCACCCCCTAGATCAGAAGGCCTCCGCACCGTCATCACAGCCAGATCGATTGAGGCCTGAGATTGGGCACGAGTGCTGCGTCAGTGTTCGGCCGGGGCTCGTGTTCCATCAGCGCGTCGAAGGTCGGACTCGGGCCCAGTAGCCGAGTTAGCGCCATCCGACTGTGATGACGTTTCGTGAAGGGAGAGGAGGCGATGCCCAGGCTTTTATTATTCTATAGGTGTTGTTGGGTGTTAACGCGATTAATGCGATTGCGGAGTCTGCTCCATGGGTTTCGCTTCTCCGCAGCGCAGTGCACATGCGGAGAAGCGCACTGAACAAAGCCAATTCATTGCAATGGTGACTTTACGAGCGCTTTGAAATGTTCGACTGGCGTAAACGACTTTATTTTCGCGAGCTTGATATTTCATACATTTTGTAAAGTGTCAGTTTTGGAAATACTTTGTGGGAACAAAATTTCACAATGAGGAGTAATGTTCAATGTATTCGTAGCCATGGGGTTACTTATTTGCATGACCAATTTGAAGCAATTTCGATAAACTCGCAAACAGTAAGCCTTTGCAAAAATTAAGCCGTTTACAGTAGTACGATTAATGTTGAAACCAATATCAAATACCGTATAATACTAAACTGCTATAAGAAAATTTTAATATTAGCACAGCCCTGAAAAATGGCCATTTGCGGATGTTTTCGCTGTGGCCTTTATCAATCCATATGGGCTTCAAGTGTAGCAGCTGCAACCTTGAATCTGGAAAAGGCTATTGTTTGTCACACATTTTCTTTATGGTGCCTAAGGTTTGATGTAATAAATGTTGTGCCCTGCAGTGAAGACTATTACCTGTAGCATAGCCCTGGGCATGCAAAGAAGGCACACCAGCAATGTCTGACATATCAGACTTTCAGAAATGCTATTGTCCAATTTTCCTCACCCTTTTGTCCGGATGAAGCTGTTACTATCTTTCTTGCTTTCCTCTCATAGTCCTTTGAGCGAGTTATGTGACGTTATATCATAGGGTGGCATAGGGTAATTTTCTCTTCTCTTTTCCCGCAGGATGTAATGGCACACCATCATCACCAAGGAGAGTGTACAGTGAGGAAGCTCGGAAACTTGAATAAAGTGATAAGTAATCTTTCAATTTTTGTTTTTATAATTACGTGAAGAACACTGATCATAATGACTGTATGCTACACATACATACTTACAGCTGAAAAATGCAATCCACCTTTTCTTTAAGTTTTTCTCACACAGTTTCAGAACATGCTGGTACGTCATTTTCACGAGGAATGTTTGGAAATAGAGCTGCCAGAGATTTCCTCGTAATTTTAACGTACAAAGCCGCAAATAAAAATGACGACTTTCCTAGTCAATTTAGAAAAACGACAGTTCGTTATTTTCACGGGGGAAGATTTGAAAACGATTCAATCGTCATTTTCACGTCTATGCTCGTAAACTAAGAATGCGGTGCCTCGTTTTTTTGACAACTTTTCCCACATAATTTAAAAAAAATGATTGTACGTTATTTTGACGGGAAATGTTTGGAAATAGAGCTGCCAGAACTTTCCTCGTAAATTTCACGACTCATTTTTAACAGTGTATGTGAATCAGCCTTCACGGTCAATTACTTTTCTTCTCAAGTACTCGAGTAATCCAATTGCATACATTTTTACCACGAGTAATCGTATTGTAACCGATTACTTTTTCTTTTCTTCGAGTAGAACGTGTACAAGACTACTGCTTATACATCCCACAAAAAACAGTACGCAAACATCAGTCACCACGATATCTGTGCGTCGAACGCCGCGTGCCAAGTTTCTCCTTAAACTGTAGTTCCCATTCGGCATTCGAAGCAAGGATCTCGTGGTGACTCGCGTTAGAATCTGTTTGCAGACTGCCTTTTGTATGACGTATAAGCAGTGTGACACCGACTTTAAGCAACGCCCACTTGGGTTTGCTTTGTACGCCCGTTTGAAATTTTGCCTAGTAGTTTAAAGGAGCGATGCAACAATTTTTGTACTTTGCGCAAATACCGCTTAAAACGGATCCCTAACGTTAATGACCTATGACGCACGCGTTCGTTTTTCACCCCACGCAATAGAAGTCCCAGAAAAAAATTAAACAAAAAACGAGCAGCGTTCACCCCCTCAACTCGCAGCCAGAAAAAGCGGCCGCGTGATCTGGAGCCGATTATATGCCGTCAATGTTGATCATAGCCACGCGCTGGGGTTGGCAAAGCGCAGGACACGCGCTGAGTTCCAGACATTGTTATGGCTCGACTGTTGTCGTCGTTGCAGCGATTGGACACGGACCACTACCCGAATGCTTCTCGAGCTAGCAATTATCACGAGCCCAAGTCGAGTGCCCACGCAATGCTCGGGTCCAATCTATGAACCGCATTAAAATATCGTCACTTGGGTGTACTGCGATCGCCA